CCTTAGCAAAATTTTAAAAATATACTTAAAAAGAAAATGGAAGAGGAGGCAGTTTTTTTTTTTTTTTTTTCATTTTAATACTGAAACGTACTCTAATCTCTTTTTCTAATCCTCTGTATCTTTAGCCAAAATAATATATAATAATGTATTTACTACAATGCAGCTACCTATGCGTATGAAAATTAATCAGTATAACGTACGTCATATTTTGGCTTTTGTTTCGTTTTTAAAAAATTTTTTTTTGATGTTATACTTTTTCGTCATTTTCGTAATAACGAAGCGGCGCTCTTTACTTGCAAAAAATGCCTCCAATGACCAAAATCTCGACATGATATATAACAACGAGAGAAGGAACTTTCTAATATACTATTATCCTCTCTCAATGCTTATATTTATCAAATCAAAGCCAACATTCACGTATTTTGTAAGATGGACTTGTGGCTAAAGGCTGGCTGGCATAAATATGTATACACATCCATCATAAAACAGCACACCAAAAGTTAGACCATTACCCTACGATACTGCAAAAGATACTATGGTCTTGAACGTAGATTTACAAATTATTACAGGGGAGAATGATGCTTTAATTGTTTACAAGGAAACTAGCATAATCTATCATTCAGTAACTGAATATATATATATATATATATATACATAGTCCCATCGGAGCGTTTAACGTATAGGTGGCAGGTTTTCTTAGCTTACCTCGCAAATCTTAAGTGCATTACTCCCGCCTGTATGATAGTTTCCAGACTTGTTAACAAATTGTTTTTAAGTTTGTTTCGTATGGTCGAATGCCATAAAATTACCTCACCAATAAAACAACACTCCAAGTCTGTTTCAGCTTGAGGTGTGTTTAAGGGAATTTTTTTTTTTTTTTTTTATAAAATAAGCGAAAATGGATCATTTAATACTGTTTTGCACACGTAATTTCCAACATCATCAGAAACATTTGTTTAAAAATATATTCATCCCAACGCAAAAATAGAAACTGTTTCGCAACCTCATCGCAAAAAAAAAATAAAAAAAATAAAGAAAAAAATTGCTACCAGCCCAACTGTTTGCTTGGACTAGTGTGCAAAGCGGTAAGAAAAAAAAACTTGGCATGTTGCTTTCGCAAGGTGACGCGTGAGAGGGACAGAGAGTCATCATCTTCGTCGACGAGTGGTCAGGTAAATGTCGATAATTTGTTGCGCAACGCTCACTACTGCCGTTTCCATACAGCTGATTGTGGAAGCACTTTGCGCTTTTGTTAGCTCGCAGATTAGAACGAACAATCACGCTATTCTCGCCGTAACTATTTAGTGCCGTTCAGTAAAAGCAAAGTACAGGCGTCTTTTACTTAGTTCATGTCAATTACGTAGCAACCTACTGAAAGGACGCTATGGTCCTCCTTGTAAAAAAAAAATACTTTTAAATGATAGATATTTTATGATTTAAATACTGATTTTTACATTATCGGAAAATTAAAATTTAATTAAACACTCGGGTGCAAGACATATAATTATCCATGTCACTTGCACTTTTGTATAACAATCGGTCATTGTCACGAATAAACTAATAATTTATTTTTAATTAAAATTTTTACTCAAAAGACCACTAAATTTCAAGTGTTTGGGAATAAAGGTAAAGGCTGTACCCACGCATTTCATATACAAAAATCACTTACTTAGCAAGTGATACAATGTTACGTTGAACTAATATCCATTCCGTGTGCTGATCTACGTTGCCTGCAGCGTAGGTTTCACGTTTAATAATGCATTATACGGCAATTTTCTTACGGCTTTAAGTATGGTTAAATATTACAGAAACAGAAATTTCGGAAAATTTATCTCACAGTCGTTGTATTTTTGTACTTGTATTACATTCTAATGTATGCGCCATCAAGTGTCTTGAACAAGCTCTTAATTTTTGCCACAATTTGATTTTAATCTATATTTTATTTTTTCGTCTTATCCTCTGCCAATGTCCAAGTCTTTCATGCGAGTACTGGTACAAACGGGTGAAAAGCCTAGTGAGTTTTTAAAAAATCATCAAGAACTTCTATCGAAGGGGTTTGAAAATTAGCAGCAACATTTATTATTTATTTATTTATTTATTCTTTATCGTTGTTATTTTTATTTTT